GTACACTGAAAATAGGGTGCAGTGTAGAGAGGGTCCTTAAATTACTAACATTGTGTGAACTTAGGGAAACTTCGTCTTTCAATTAGCGTCAAAATTTTATGAATATAATGAATTCTGTGGAAGATTACGACAGGCAATGAGCCAAACATGAAAAGAAGACTTTGACACTTTGTCAGAATGGATTTAGAGTATCAGATGGATGTTGAAATCTCGCATTAACCGGCTTAGGGCAAAATGAAATTAAAGTCATCTATCTTTCTGTCATCTTTCTGTCATCAATAGCTCAGAGGGAAAAAAAAGATAAGATAGATTACACGATCAAAATGTACTGGTACCAGCCGACAAAGCAGGTAACAAAATTGTCTTTGTTTGTAAGGCTCAGTAATTTAATTGTATTTTAGAGGAACTCGAATTTAATTCTGCAAGTGGTAATCCAACTTATAAAAAGTTCCTTTTCTAAGGAGGGAATTCTTCAAAATCATATTTCAATTTTAAATATATTTAATACTCCCGAAAATCAAGTAGAATTTTAATTACCATACCCGTACTGGGTTCTAAACTACATAAAAATTCTTGCAAATAAAGATATGTATCTTTTTCAAGTAAATGTTCTACCAAGCCTCAAGCTCTTTATTTACTCCTCATTAAAATATTAAGAGCCATTCTCTGTAATGACTTGAACTTTTATATAGGAGCTGTGGCACGCATAGTCTCAGAATTTCTCCAAACTCTCTTTGATAAAAGTCTTTGATACCGTAAACTCAAATCAGGCAAAAATTGGTTGCTATGTGTCATGGTTACCATAGCAACATGCCCTAAAGTTTGAAAAATGGCATTTTTCAACATCTTCAGAGTCCCACAGTTAACGATTGCAGCAAAGCAAACAAGTGGCAATGACTGTTTCTGAAAGTTGAAGGCCTGGTGTCTTAAATACATGATAAACATGTTTGGTAAATCATCTATAACATACGTTACTATGGAAACAAAGTATTAAAAAGTAATAATTTTGTTCATTTAATTTTATAAAGTCATACACTTAAGAATAAAAACAATTATAGGTTGAAATGCAAGCAAGTAATAGAGAAGAGATCCTTGTAACATATACCAAGGACAAAATATGATATTTCTTATAGGTTGGCAATGGTTGCCATGGTTTTAATACCACGAAGGGATTTTAAATTTACTAATCTTATCCTATCTTTTTAAAAAAGCATATTTCTCTACAACCGATGATCAATTTTTAAAGGCCTTGGTGTGACCCTAATTTTCACATTTCAAAAAATTCAATTTCTATTCTTTAAATAGTGCGTTGCTATGGAAATAAGGCGAAAATACATGCATAAAAATCTGAAAAATACTCTGTTTCCTTGGATACGTACCGTTGTATGTAGATTCCCAAAACTTTAATGATTGATATATGTGAACAACTAACCTGACTTTCAATTTTGACTATCACCCAATCTCTAACTGGATGCAAAAAGCTGGCACATAGGATCTAATACTGACAAAAAATTAACAAAATCGAACATTTTCTATTCTTGGTAACCATAGCAACAGTGTTGTATTTTTCAACAACCTTTATCAATATATGATATTCAACTTTAGTTCTACGAGATAAGTACTATTCAAGGTGATTCAAATAATATTTTTCTTGATTAAAAGGTTAGTAAATTCCTAAAGAAGCAAAGAAATATCACTTTAAACAACTAGTACGTTGTTTCCATGGTTACACTGCAAAGTAACAGTTAATCTCATTTTTTCTTATGTTGTCGGTGTTGCAAGGATGCATATGTGCCAGTCATGAATCTTATTGTTTTTCCTCATGATAGTAGCATTAACCCAATCATAGCAACAGATTTTGCATGGTTACACTGTGTTTCCATGGCAACCATGAAAGTTATTTTTAGAATAATATTGCCAATACCTAATTACATGAGGTCAAATATTTTTCATTGTTTTTCTTACGTTGTTGATTGAGTTTGATCATGTAACATCTATCATTTGTGACTATAGAGCGTTTTTCAGCATTTTTCAGCATCTAAAATGTATTCCAAATGTACCCATGGTTACCACTTACTTAGAGATAAAATCTAAATAGTTTCTTTATAGCATAAGTGGCAACAAGGTTTCATGTTTTTGGGAGAATGGTTTGTTTGTTTTTCTTTGTCTTTATTAAGGCTTAATGAAGATTTAAAGTAGCTGAAAATCTCAATTTTTTCAACTTTTCTGGCTGTCACCATGGCAACCAAGACACATAGCAACGGAATTTTATTTGATATATGTTTCTGGTGTCAAGTTGTAATAAAGGGCAAAGTTTCATCAAAATCGGTGACCATGCGTGGCAAAGTTTAAGTGGTTACAGAGGATCGCTATTAACAGCAGTAAAGGAGAAACGTTTGGAATAGTGTGCTACAATATCTTCGAGAAGTGGTGTTAATCAGATTTAGATACATAAAAAAATGCCAAGGAATCTTATGAAAATTTGAAATCAATTTTTTTTTCAAAAATCAATAACATCAAACTTATGACTTTTCACCACTTTGTACAATCATTCCCCACGATAAATTAAGGTCCAGGCTTTTTTACACCATAGACAGATGCTTTTTTTTTTCAACAAAATGTGACTTGTAAATTTACTTACTTTGTCATTGGTAATTCTGATTATATACACAATTACTACAAAGTTGAGAAAAAAAAGATGCTTGAGTTTCTGATTGACAATTATATCTATGTAGATTTTGAGACAAGTCTTTTAACAATCTGTTGGAATACCTAAGGAATTTCTAAGGGTATTAATTGTGTCCCGTTATTTGCAGACCTATTTTGGTATTCATATGACGCAGAATTTATTTTTAAAAAAAACTTCTACATGAAAAGAAGAAGTATCTTGCTTTGGCCTTTAAACATTTAGATATATCGACGACATTTTATCAATTAACAATATTTATTTTCATTTCTAGATTGAGTCGATATATCCTTATCAACTCGAAATAAAGATACTTAAGTGTCTAACAAATCTGCAGCTGTTTCATATTTGGATATTTTGCTAGAAAAAGACGTCACTGGTAACCTTACCATAAAACTTTACGATAAACGGGATGATTTCAACTTTTCTTTCGTTAACTTTCATTATTTATGTAGCAATATACTATTATCACTTGCATATGGAGTTCATGTCTCTCAGTTGATTTGAGATGCATGCTCTACATATTAAAAATTTCTAAAACGAGGCAAGCTATTGACAAATAAGATGATGATACAAGGATATCAACAGTCTCTTTAAAGTCAACATATTGCAAATGCTATCGTCGATGCACTGACCCACTCAGCTGTTACAGTCTATCTTTGAGTCAATTTTTCTAATATGCATATAATACCTTGTTCATACTGCAAGAATTTTACTCATAAGTATATTTACTCAAGAGCAAATTTGCTCTGGTATGCAAAATTAAATTTACAATGCATTTTGTATGATTTTATATACTGTGAGTAAATCGATATTCTTAATTTTTAACATTATTTTATTATGAATTAAACAAAAAAGGATTGGACAGCACGCAATGCCTACGTGCATATAATTCCTCTCCTTAATTCAAGTCATAGAAGTTATTTGTTAAGTAACATTAACATTTTTTATATAGATATACACATGTAAATATACTACAAGAAATTCACAATAATAAGACTAAACAAACAGTTAAGACTGAGCTGATAATATGTTTGTAATCAAATATACATGTATATATTACTAGCAAAAGTAATACAGGCATAAAAGAAAGATAATAAGAACACATAAAAAAGATGGTTCTTTGGTTTGACAATTAAAAAAGATCTGCTGATGTAGTAAATTCATATACAAGTTTAAATACTGCAACATTTTGATTGTAAGATTATTGTCTTCATTTAAAATAGATTAAAGGCATTTGTAATTTAAAAGTATCAAAGTTTTGTATGTGTTTGTATATTGGACATTTCATAAAAAAGTGAAATGATGTTTCGGAAATATTTCCACACATCACACAACTGTGACCTTCCCTTAAACATTTATTACATAACTCAGCTGTTAGATTACTAGAATTATTTCGCAATTGGTAATGCAATTCCCTTTACAAATTCCATAGTTGTAATATTTCCTAGGTTTTAAGCATATTTATTGTATTCAAGAACAGGACGAACGAAAGCAAAATATATTTTTATTAAAGAATCCCTCTTAAATGTATGCCTTAACATTCTTAAGATATTTAATCGGTTACAGGATTTGGCATGAATATCAAGTATGTGGATTTGAGTTTGTTTGTTGTTTAACGTCCCTCTCCAGAATTTTTCACTCATATGGACACGCCACCACTTGCCGGTGGAGGGCTGCAAATGACCTGTACTCGGCACTCAGGGCCATTGAGCAGTGAGGGATCTTTTTTCGTGCCAGTACCTACTGCGACACGGGATCTCGGTTTATATGATCTCATCCAAAGGACCGGACTCCACGTCCCGTAGTGGATTCGAACCCCCTAACGTAAGGATCAACTCCTTACACCGTAGAGCAAACGCTTCAATCACCGTGCCACGCGGGCGACTGGGTTTGATTAAATCCATATTAAAATCACTATACGTATTTATATATATCCAAATTGTTTGCATATGTGTATAGCTCGCTGTATGAACAGGGCTTAAGACCTCTGCTTAAGGAGCTGTATACCTTATTCACTACCTCACACGTTACATGAAGGTTTTTTATAAAGTAGAAATGAATCATCTAATATTTGAAAAAAAGTTTTAAATATTGTAAACAAAGTTTCATAAAATGGGCAAAATTCTATATTTTGTATGTAATTACGATTTAAAATGAAGTTTTGGTCCAAAAAGCGTCACTAAAGTAACCCAAATATTTTCTCTGATTAAATGTCTTCCTTTCTATACTATGACAGATTGTAATAATTTAACAAAAGTAATTTATATTTTTGGGAAACATTACAATTCTACAGATTCTGTTACATGTAATATTTCAATTTCTCTTCATAAATTCAACAAATCTTTTTATTTCATCTTTCATCACCAATGTTTTAAAAAGAAGGGAATTATTATCTCCTCTCAAGATAAACTCTTGGAGTTCATTTTTAGCATTTTTACTGACAAATTCTACCTCGGAAAGAGGATGTTTTATATAACGTGCTTCAGTAAAGATAGCACTGAACTCGGATGCATCAAGAGATTTTACTATTAGTTCTTCGATTCGTCCCCCTTTCCAGAAAAATGTTTGATCAATTTCTTTTAATCGTATTAGTACATCTAACCCTTCAGGATCACTAATGAATGAATCAAGCGTTTTAAATTTATCGAACCTTCCCTTTTGTCTTATCTTGAAACCTTGAATTGCAATACTGGTGGCTTTTTTCTTTTCATCCTTCGTGATCACGACGTAGGCGTCTAGGTCGAGAAGAAATCTACAACTTACATTGAAATCTTCACAACAGCTTCTAATCTGTTCCTCATAAGAGCATGAACCTAGCTCAATTAATTGATGACTTGATATATTCTGTATGTCCATTGGATCTAGATTCAATTCCCTTCTCAAATTTTCGTCATCAATGTGTTGCACAAGATAACTAAAAATACCTTCAATTACTATTTTGTCTGCCTTGCCCTCGACACAAAGAATTCTTCTTGCAAACAAAACTTTTTTAAGATCATCTGTGTCAGTTAACAGTTTGACACTTCTCTGAGAAATATAACTCAGATTACTACAAGATACAACTTTATGATTTGGAGTGGCATCAACTTTTTCAGAAACACATACATGTGTTTTTGGAATTGTCCACCTGCTGACAAATGAAATGTTGTGAGAGATCAGGATGAAAGCTTTTCCTTCCGATCTAAAAATTAATTCTCTTAGACGTTCAACCATTTCGGGATGCATTCCTCGATCTGGTTCCTCTAAACAAATTGTTTTAAAATCGTTGCATGCGAATATAAGCGCAAATTGTATTGCCTCTACAATACCTTCAGGAGCTCTTAAAAGACTAATTCCATTAATTGTTATGGTGTGTGCAGTCCCACCTACTTCAAAATGATTTGGATACGTTAACTTATCTAATGTATCTTGGAATAATTTTTTGTCTATTCGCCTTTTGTTTTCAGTACTTTCCTTCCCTTCCTCTGGAAAATACAGGTCACGAATAATCTCTGCTCTAGCATTGACTTCTTTCTCGTTTGCTTCTCGCCAGTTTGCTCTAACTCGCTCACTTTCTGTCCACTGAGATGGACCAATCGATCGCATCGGAAAAGTTGCTACAAAGAAATTTTCTAGTTCGTATAATACCAATTGACAGGCACTTTGAGGCTCTCCTGAGCTAAGTAAGTCAAATTCAGACTTCGGAAAAGAACTGATGATTTCCCTCACAAAAGTATCGATGTTTTTTGGTATTGTACCATTTTCTATGTAATTTTTCAAAGCATCAACATCGGTGATTGGCACATTTTCTCTCGATGCCATTAACGCACCAATAGATTTTATTTTCCCCCCAGTAGATATGCAATCATATTTATCAGCACAACCCAGCAATCTATCTGAATATTTGTATATAATAAACTTCACAAAATATTTTTTTTCGCCTTCCAAAGCCATAAATATTCCGGACAACAATTCACATGGACTTCTTTCCAAATTAGTAAATCTGCATATTGCAAAAGCTGGGTCTTTTTCGTTGCCACAAGTGGAGGGTATAGTTGAACTTATTCTTGTTGACATGCAACGTCTAATAAGTTCGAAAATAACGGATTTCCCACTACCATTTCTTCCAATAATTAAATTAAATCCATCGCTGAATTCCACTGATTGGTGTTCGTTGTAATGAACAACATTCTTGAACATCATTGAACGCAGCATCTGTAAACAGGAATAAAGACTGTTCAAGTATATGTTAATTCTATGTAATAATATGCCTTTGATTTAGTAATAAGGATTTAAATCAAAGAATAATTAAATAGTTCAAGCATAAAAATGTATATTTTGTAATAATTATAAATTATACTTAATAAAAATTATATATATGCTTTAAATAGTAAAATTTATTATCAATTGGTAGCCAGTTCTTTCAAAGGATCAACATATGGTTTTTCCCGTTCTTATTTAAATATGTTAATCACTGTTGACAATACAAGGAGAATTTGGCATGCTCTGTTTTTTGTTTTACTTCTCAAAACCTAATCAAAGTGAAAGAAGATGGAAACAGATTATCACTATGCACTTTCACGTGTTTGTAATATGGAACCATTAAATTAAGAAGAAATAGATAACAAAGTACAAATAAATAAAGCTGAAGGAATAATAATGTACAATTACAATTGAGATATAGCATTGTATAATTATTTTATTTTGTTCAACTGTATTTTCGACAAAACTAGCTTATAATTACGACATTTTTCCATCATTTTATATTAAACTATAATTTTTGCGTTAGATATGGATAATATCTTATGAAGTGTTTTTCCATTGGCTAAACTTTGTGATGCAATGTGAATTTTGTAGTGTTATACAGTACTATGCATTCAAATGCTCTAGACATTTTAATAAAATGTCCTTTAAATTTTTTTCATTTTATGTATAAGTTTAAATAATAATTATCAAAGATAATTTTCAATTTGAATATGATTAAAATCATTCGTTCCCAAAGAAGTCCCACAGCAGCTGTCCCAGCGGCCCCAGAAAGCAGTCTCAGTAGCGGAGTTAAGAAATTTAATGGACGGAGCTTACTTCTAACTGAGGTTATCAATAATGTTAGTATTATAAAGGCAGTTAAAATTAATGATGCACTTTTTTAGGGGAAAAAGTGTATATCATACAGGTAAAAATAACACGAAATATTTTCATTTCTCGTTTGACAGTTATTTCTGGACTGTTTACAAAATTACAGAGAAACATACTTCAAACTTGATGCATGTTATGAAAAAAAGACTTTTTCTTCGATATGCTCGAATTCAGGAATACTTATTCTGAGTTGATAACGTTTTAGCAACACCTTCCAACCATCTCAAAGAAGAATATAAAAGACTACGGATGAGGAGATATAAATTTCCATTTCATAGGTTGATCTAGAATTATAAAGAAAAAGAGAAGAAATAAATAAATAAAATGAAAATGTCTCAAAACTCACATTTTGAAAAGAATTGAAGTCCCAAACCCTGAAGGGAAGGGGTTTTAAATGCAGTAAAACTAGCCAATTTCATATATTTTGTAAAGCACTTAGAAAAGAGCCTTATATCTTATATGACCGGTCGACAGGGGATGCTTACTCCTACATGGCACCTGATCCTACTGTTTCCATGACAGCAGCAGTTATTTCAATTTTAGAAACTTTGGGAGAAGGTTACCACAGAGGCATTTAGAAGTTTGAAGATTTTAAAGTAAAAATTCTAGTTTTAAAGAAATCCATGTTTTGTTTCTTTGGCAATAGTGAAATAATTTGAATTATTTTTTTTTATTATTTTGCAGAGGTCAGTTTGACTTGATGTAAGGATTAATGTTTTAAAGAAGAAAAAGATAGACTATAACTGAAGATACCATATTTAGATTTAATCACATCGCAGTTTTTTAGCGTTTGATTCAGCTGAAATCAATAGCTTTTTTTTTCTTAATCTCACCTTGATGATTCAAACAGTTTTTCTTTGATGATGCTGTCTCTTTCACAAATGCTAGATTGAAAAACAAATAAACAAAAAGCATTACTTATTATTTATCTTTAATGATTGTAAGCTTTTTATTTTTCTTTTCATATAATTACAACACATCTGTTACCGGATGCCTTATAATTACAAAATGGAATCCGAATTTGTCAGCCTCTCGTTAAGCTGCAATCGTGTATTTTATCTTCGCACATGATTTTAAGGTTTTAACATGAAGCTTAAGACAGTATTTCTTTGCTGATACTGTCCTCTTTCACAAATGCATTGTCCAGATTTTAAAAGCATAAAAGCAGGAAACAAATCATTACTAATAAAATGATACCAATTTCCTCCTCTCTTTTCATGAAACTTATACCACACCTGTTTTTGTTTTGCTCACATCTAATACTTGAATAATTGTACATACAGTTAAATACATTGATGACTTCTCAACTTTATATACAACTATTCCCCACGATAAATTAAAGTCCAGACTTTCTGACATCGTTGACAGCTGCTTTTTCAATAAAAAACTGAACTCGTAAATTTACTTACCTTGTCATTGGACGTTTGCAAAATTACTTTGTTAAAAACAATCTTATTGTACACACAAGTACTCTGAAGTTGACATTAAAAAGATGCTCGAGTTTCTGATTGACAATATCTATGTGGTTTTTGGAGACCAGATCTTCTAACAATTTATTGGAATTCCCATGGGTACCAATTGCGCCCCGTTGTTAGCAAACCTATTTTTGTATTTATGTGAAGCAGAATTTGTTCAAAATCTTTTTTGTGAAAAGAAGAAAACACTTGCTGTGGCCTTCAACTCGACATTTAGATATATCGACGACGTATTGTCAATTAACAATAGTTATTTCCATTCTTATGTCGACACGATATATCCCGGTGAGCTTGAGATAACAGATACCACAGAGTCTGACACATCTGTTTCATATTTGGATATTTTATTAGAAAAAGACGTTAATAGTAATCTAACAACAAAGCTTTATGATAATATAAATGTGATGACTTTAACTTTTCAATCGTCAACTTCCCTTACTTATGCAGCAATATACCCTTATCACCTGCATACGGGGTTCATATCTTTCAGTTGATTCGATACGCCAGAGCATGCTCTACGTATGAGCAATATCTAAAACGAGGTAAGTTATTGATAAACAAGTTGATGAAACAAGAATATCAGCAGTCTCGTTTAAAGTCATCATTTCGTAAGTTCTATGGTCGATACAATGACCTTTTCAGCAAATACAATCTTTCATTAAGTCAAAGGCTGACTGACTTTTTTCATACAAATTGTTAGGCCATTATTTACACACTGAATTGTAGACGGATTTTTCCGTTATTTACTGATCATGACAAAGAGCACACGGCGGGTGTGGTCGGTCGGCAGGGAATGGCCACTCCTACATGGCACCTGATCCCACTTCTGATGTCTTAGAGGTCCGTGTTTGCTCTGCTCCTATTTTGTAATGTTTAATGGACATTTGAGCATACTGTTCGTTATCTCCACATATTTTATACATGTAAAACTTCTCAGTTTAAAACTTGACAAGGGAACAATAGGCCATGCATGAAGCTCATCCGAAACACGTTGTTCTTTATAACGAGTAGAATATTGAAATTACTAAAGAAGTGATATCTGTTTAGTTGAATAACTTTCTGTTTGACCAAGTCAAGGAATTTGGTGAAAAATCGGAAAATATAACTCTACTGTAACAGTTCAATATTCAAATAAATGAAACGTTTTAGAAATATATGAAATTTTGTTGCTTTAAAGTTTCTGGAAACATTTTCAAGAGTGTAATTTTACATTTTACACAAATTTACCGATCAGATTTCCGTTGAAAGAATTGATCAAATCGTTGATTTTATAAATCATCCAAAAGCTTTCACACATACAATTTAATTGCATACAGTATTTAACATAAATAAAAAAATAGATTAAAATAGATATAAAGGGAATAAAGAAGAATATAGAGATGCTACGATCAAAATGAAATCTAACAATATCAGGATGTTTTATCAATACTAATAAAGGAAAAAATTAACTGGTAAAGTTAAGCAGAATGTTCTTAGTATAAAACTTGACAACTAAAGCCTGATGGTCTTATTAACTTTACTTTTTGATAAATGAAAGTGAAAGATGACTGATTTAAATGCAACATTAGGATTCAATAATTATTTTCACAAAGAATAACCAGTGATTTGAAAGATATTTGTTGAAGGGGTTTTTGTTTTACGAAGAAAAATACTTCTATGTAAAAACTTGTGTAAAAAAAAAAAAAAAAAAAAAAAAAAAAAAAAAAAATAAATGAAAAAAAAATCACTGTTCTCAAGATAACCTTTCTTCGTCTAGAGGAAGTTTTTCCGTAACCTTTAAAAAACGTTCAAAAAACAAAATTTGAAAACGTGGAGATTCATCAAATCAGTCGATAATAGAAATCCAAACATTTACCAATTATACAAAGTCCCGAATCAGAATTGTGAACAATTTTGAAAAAAAGTGGTACATGTATACTATTCTTAGATTGTTACATGTATTAGCAATAGATTTCCTAACTATGAATAATTTTTAGTGATTTACTATTCTATTATTATGGAAATGGCACAGGCTTTTTAAAAGTGTACTTATTTATTTAATACAGGATAAAATGTATATTTTTTGTCTAATTCTCTTCGATTCAAAAACTTCAGAAGTAAGTAGATGGAGTACTGTTTTCTTTAGATTTCTTATCCGAAATCGGAAAGAAAATCTCTGTTTTTAATGGATTACATGCATTTGTTATAACTTGTTATTGTCAGTTTAATCTAAAATATTCTGTCACATAATCCTTGTAATACATTGATACTTCAAGTAATGCAAATAATAGTATAGTTTGGGCACTAATTCATTCCAATGTATGCTTGGTTTAATTTCGAATGCGCTTATATGGTTAATACGTACTTTAAACAGTTTATTAGGAATGTAACGTTGGCTTCATTTCATGTACGTTTACAATAGTATGATCTACTTCAAATTTCAATGAATTCTTATTTCAATGAATCCTGTAAGGGTTTCAACTAAACTTAAGCATTTACCAATTCACCAAAAAGAATAAATACGTGTATATTAATTCCTGAACTTGCAGTGTTCTAATTAAGATATAAAACTGCAATTTCATTGCCAAAGAATAAAACGCAGATGCTGGACGGATTGGTACGATTTATGTCGGGTAATCGATTTTTGTTATCAAGTCAAAATTCTTCAATCAATAATGGCTATGGAATGCTGGATTCTCAAACTGTTTTTCCGATGAGTCAACAAAATTTGCCTTGATGCATTGACAAGATGTTCTCTTCTCTCAGAAATGTTTGATAACTTTGAAAATATTAAGTGCATTAACATAGAGAAAAAGAGATTAGTTGGTAGTTCTTCTTTACAAGACATGCACATAGTGTCAGCCCCCTCCCCACATTATTTATTCCCCGTGAAAAGTCTTTCGCTGTTAATTTAGTATTTATTGAAATTTCCATTAAAAGGGAGCTTACCCCACACCCCACCCCAAAAAAAGTTTTCCGGGAATTTTTTCCGACTAAGCCTGTTCTGTACTAGCCACACTTTTCAAAAATGATGATATGTCCCTGCGGACAGCTTTTGCTTGAAACTCTTCATGATTTTATTTTCATTTACATTTCAATAACAATAATTTCATGAAATTTACAACCCATTAAGTAGCATTTATTCATTCTTGGAAGTTCTTGTCAAACAATAAAAATGCAAAAGTATTTACTTATTTACTTGTGAAATTCTTACAAAGACATCATTGATATGCAAAAATACTTTCAAATAAATCAAATAAACATACTCAATAAAAACGATTAGAAATACATGCAATTTTAAAATGAAAAAAAAATTCAACAAACCGTGATTTTATTCGTTCTTCATCTAACTTAAATATGGAGAGATGACGTGTTAGAAACCACAAATCGGTTATGCTTAAAACAAACCTATAATACTGACTGATAAATACCGGTATTTTCTACAGGGTTCCATATATACGTAATTACTTTGACAGGAATTTTGAATTACCCGAGTAAACAATATTATATGACGAATCTTCGTGATAGAGTTTTCAATTTGCAAACAACCTGACACTTCTGGATTCTGTTTCGGAAAGTTATTTCATTACAACGAGATCTGAATGATAGCCATTTTATACTAGTATGTTCTTCGTACTCATTGTTAGTTTTCATGTTTGCTTTTTTATATTAATAATGATGCTTTATTTTATTTTATTTTATTTATTTATTTATTTATTTATTTTTTGTATTTTCAAACTCCATTTTCTTAGATTTACACACTTCAAAGAGTGTACCGAAATATATGTAGCCAAATTTTTGACAACATAATTTGATAAAAGGAATTGAGAGACCGGTTGCAGATCAATACCGTTTACGTCAACAACATCCATCTGTTATAACTAAACAATAACAAAATGTATCACTGTTGTCATTAGCAACATATGGCACAGCACCACATCGTCCCGATATCGAACTTTCGAGATTAATAGTGTAGGGTGTGGTGATCATCAGGTATTGTGCATTAAATAGGTTTTAAGCAATATGTGCCAATCTGTCACTGATAACAGTTACGATCAATTGTTAACAACACTGTTTTAAATGATTCTTCTTTTTTAAAGGTGCATGGACACAGATGCATTGTTTACATTTTAAATGTCTATGCACTTTCAAAATATAAAACCAGTTATATGAATTGAACTGACATGCATATTCTTAGAATTCAATGACAACGACATTTTTATTTACATCTTGTCAAACATCTGTTTTTGTAAACAGGGCACGAGCTCTGTTATTGTTAATTTTTACATTTCACCGGATGTGTTCAATATTTCTTAAACTCTTCACACATCACTGAGCACGGACTGACAATACTGGTGAGTTGGTTTTGCTTTCTCACATTTCTAAACTGAATTTTCTGCTTTATTATTGTA